AGACCCTGGCACGCCGGGGCAGATTGTGAGGAAAACGAACAACCCGAGATCCTTCGTGGTGGAGACACCGTCTAGACAACTCATCCGGAATACCTACCATTTAGTCACAGCAGAAACACCGAGAAAGAGTGCTCAAACCGGATACAATGGAGACAAAGAAACGATATGCGAACAAATGATCAATCCAGGCGAGAATGTCCAGACCCCGTGCGTTAAGGACAAAGAACCGACATCGGAACAGGTACTCGACCCAGAGGGAGGTCCACCTATGGCTCTCGGTCCTGAAGAATCTACTCCGACATCGGAACAGGTACTCGACCCAGAGGGAGGTCCAGCTACGGCTCTCGTTCCGGAAGAATCTGTCATCGATTCCGGCACAAGGAAAGAGGAGCCCTACACTCTCACTAGAGCTGGGTGACGAATCACTCGGCCCCAGAGATTCAGAAACTAGTTTCAAGCCCATTGTAGAGAAAGGGTGATGTGGTAATAACCACGTTTATGCGTTTCAGTAAAACTCCGAGAGGGGGCAGCCAGTTGGGGGCGCGTGCTTAACCCAGCTCGCTGGTGCTGTTCTGTCTCTCTCTGTGTGGTCAATCCGAATTATCACGACAATTACTTGGGCTGCGCGCTTAACAGCTGCGAACGAAACCACACGATACTGATATAACAAGGAAAAATAGACTAATTAATCTGGATAAATCTCTCCCTTTTTTGATGGCGAGGGGAACAATAAACTGGTATATTGTTTTTTGTCATCGTGTTGCTGATGCGGGGACCAGGGTTGTGTAAGCTGGAAGGTCGAGCGCGTTAGGTAACAGCCAAGGTGCCACTGCAGCTGGCGAACATATAGCAAATTGCGTGTTGTGGAAGGCAGTCTATGAAGAAAAAAATACCTCAATTGCGAGTACATGAAGCATTAAAATAGAACATGAACACAAAGTTCAACAACCCCTAATATGAAAAAAAAAATTTACTCTCAACTCACTACTTCATGACCTCTCAGAACTGGTAATGCACTTCATTGACATACACAGCAAGCATATGACAGATATCCAGCAAACCCCCCCCCCCCCCCCGTACTACGCAAATAGACTACAAAATAGTCATGATATATTGCTGCACAGAATCCTAACCTCTTCGCCATTGACAATGTGCACATAGTCCCAAAGGATAAAATGCGGTTCATAATGTGTCTCGCACACCACTGATGTCTCGGCGAGGCGTTTATCTTCTCGATGAAGATTTTTTCCTATTGTAGTCTGCGCGACGGCTCCTTTGGCGCGCGAAACAGCGACGGCTTACGACCACTGGTGCTCCGGCTGCCATTGTTGACCGGGTAGCCCGACTTGCATCCGGGCGCAAAGCAGTGAGTGTCCGTCTTGTTCCTTGCACTCATGACCGAGACGGCAACGAATGGTGAAGATTCCCCACCACTACACCACAAAAAAAAACAAAAAAAAACTGCTGCGGTGTTACCTTCGGGAGAAGCGTACCGCCTCAGCTTTGTCTTCTTCTTCGCTCATCGCACATCTGCCATCTTCCACGAATTCTCCTATAGGGCTCGGAACTCGAGTGCGACTCGCGGCTATCTATTTTGACCGTCTTTACGCTGCCATTGTAAGCGGGCGCCGCTCTTGCCACTACCTCCTCTAGAACACTGTATCCCCGTCGTTCCTTTCTTTTCCCTCGGGGTTTTGGATATGATCAAAGTTTAGCATTTGGTGTAGCCCGGCGTGGCTAGGTCAGAACCAGCCGAGCAGCGCTGCCCTCCTACGGGCGGATTTCGCCTCTGGGCAATTGTACCCCATCGACGGGATAAAATCATTTTACTGATTTATTTTTCTAATCACCGACTATTGCCACGTAGGCTACCGAGAACGTCGGAGTGGTTAGCTTTCCATGATTAGTCAAACTGCGATTAATTCTGCTTTCATCAACAGAAACAAGAGCAATGGTTCACACAGAAAGAATAAAACACTGAAACGGACGGACAGACACTCTCATTTCTTTTCCAGATTTTTTTTTTAAGAACTGCGAGTGCTTTTTTTGTGTCCATTTCAGTGTTTTATTGTTTCTATGTGAACTCTTATCCAACGCACTCTAGTACGTGTAAATAAGAGTAATGTCAGGTTGCCAATATATTGGCGGGAGTGTTTTAGGAATACGATGACTCCAAGCTTCTTTAGTATATCAAACTTGTCACCGTAAATTTGAACACGCACCATAGAATTCGCTGTTCACGGCTGATAATTCTGAGCCTGACATCAAGGATGGGAAGTATAAAAGGAAGTCACTGTACGCGCCTGCACACTACGAACCATAACACGAGCCTCTCGCGTTGGCCTGGCATGGCCGCTCTTGAGTTCATGGAACGTCGAACCTTATTAATTCTAGAACCCCCATACTTCGTGTCACCTTAGCATGGACTAACTGCGAATGCTGTGCAAGCGCTAGCGGCTAGTCTTGACTGTCTTGATTGTAGCGCTCACTGTACGAGCTCTCCTGTAGCCGCCGAGGCTTCATTCAAAACAGCTAGCTCGCGCTTTAAGCATGCTTAGGTGAGAAAAAGGACAAAATTATAAGTTGGAAAGTTGCCCGCTGGGGCTCTGTGCCTCGTCATTTCTCAATAGGCCCGTAGCTCTCAAGTTTTGAGCAGCGCTCCAGGCGAGCAAAATGGTATATTTGGCTCGCGTTTTGAACATGGGTCAATACGCTTTCGCACTACAGTTTTTTAAGCTCCGTTTCATTCTAAGTGGCAGCCACTGTGTAGTGCCAGCGTAGCAGAGGCTACAAGAGCGAGCTGCGAGCTTTTGGCGTCCCTGCCAAGCACGCGCGCTCGTGAAGTGCGAGCATTGTTCAGGAGGAGGTGCTTTTGCGAGTAGGGTCGGCTTCGCTATCACGTAAAGTGAAACATACGTGCTCGTGGAAGCAGTCAAAGAAAGCAAGGATGAAAGGAACGTTTAATGATGCGCTTTGGCCACGAACTGATAACTTTTTTTTTTTTTTGGACGATTTGTTACCGCGCATCTGCAGATGCTGACAGATGCTTGTACTCGAACGTAGCACGTGCAAAATCGAACATAACAGCGCCACACGGATGGTGCAGCCAACATAGCATGGTCGCCTCTTGAGTAAGTCTTCCGGACGCACTCGCGCTTTCTGCCCCAGAGCAACGAGTCAGTCGGAACACCTCTAAGCAGGTAAGTCGAATCCCCCCCCTCCCAAATTGCGGGGGAAAATGGGGCTTCTTTTCTCGCCAACCACCATCGCCTCCTCATGTCTCAAACACTACCGACGGCATTACCCACACCGCCTCTCGGTGGCCACGGTAACTTTGTTGACAGTGGCGGAATATGAGCTCTAAAAACGCGTTCACCGCGCGCGCCTCCACAATATCACTAAGTTCAATCTTCGCAAGATTTCGAAGCGGAGATTTTGGTTTCATATAACTCCTCCCCGAAGTTGTGAAACGACACTTTGCCGTCACCGATAACTTCCGCAAATGAAGATCTTGCGACGAGAAATTTCAGAGTATTGACGGGCCGCCTAGGGACAATCGAGACAGCAAAACTTTAACGTGACGTAAGGATGTAGGGACACGCCGGGGTTACCTCATCAGTGCCGCCATTAAATTGGGCTCGTCTGATGGCGTTAGTTGCCCGCTCTGATGAAGCTCGCGGTGACTTTGTGTTTCTCAATCTCGCTTGAATTTCAGCACCGAGAGAGTTTGGATGATTGACATCTCGCCCCTCGTGACGCCATCGTCGCGAGAGTTCGATCACCACGCTCCGCTAACTTCGGCTCCAACTTTCTGGTCGACGAGTTTAGCGGCCCTGGCCTACATATGGGATGTAAAGAGCCCGTTTTTTGACGCCGCGGTAAGAGTGGTCACCGCAATACAAAGTTGGGTTTTTCGCTAGAAAAAACAAATAAATGAGTGGTGTGTATGTTTATACAGCCTAAAAATTGGTCTGACTCAACGGGCGACGAGTCTCCCAGCTGTAGATGAGCAATTTAGCCTGTGAAGTACAACCACTAGCCTGGGGTATTTAACGTGCATCAGGCCCTAGTGATACACGACTGCACGCCAGTACGATGCTCATCCAGTAAGAGACGGGCAAGGGGTGGGGATTAATCCCAAAATCCCTGGGTTCTGCAAAGCGAGCTTTCACTCAACGTGCTACGAGCTGGTGGGCGCTAGCCCACTCGGCCACCAATCTTCCCTTTTGGCTTGATGTTAGGTTTATAAAGTTTAGGCTTTGCAGACCCGAAAATAAATAAAAACCCCTCCCCTTCCCCCCCCCCTTTCCCCCCCCCCCCCCCCCCACAAAAAAGGTGCCAACGTTTTAGTCTGAAACAGTTATCTTTAACCGCTTTAATATCGACAACACAAACACGGAGGGAACTTCGAACTTCTTTTAATAACATCTAAGCCGTCAATGTTGCAATCACAACAGTAACAGCCTATTTGCCGTCGGAACATACCATCTTGGAGCCTGCATCGGTCTCATGCTACGGAGGAAAACTGCTATCATGATACATCACTCAACGAGCGCATGTGGATGCGCTCGTTGAGTGAGGAATAACACGGCAAACTGTTCCAGGCAAGCCTGTACCTCGACTGACTGAAATTGACTCTCCCCAAAACAAACAAAACAAAACGGGCAGCCCCCCCCCCCCTCCCCATATCCCCGAGAAATCCCCACATGCAGTCTCTCCTTGGTGAACGAGGAGGGTACTGCAAGTCCCCTGTCCAGTCTGGGTGGTTTGCACAAGTACGCCCCTTCCGTTCCCGTCGATTCCTTTCGGAGACAAGGACACGTAAGATGGGCACTCGCACATTCTTAGAGCCGATACAGGTGGTGTATCTGACTGGAAAGGGCTGTAAGCACCCACGTAAGCCCTTCTTTTTCCCTATAGTGTGATATTTCGCGCATCGTGCAGGGAGGTGCGGTACGCTAACACACTCAGTCACCGATCACCTCTTTTTGTCTCCGCAGTGGCCCGTACGTGCGGACAGACGATAACTTTCAACAACAGCTACTTCGTGGACCCCACCTGGATTGGTGGCACTGTCCCGAATGGGGGACACTGTAGCGTGGTGGTGCGTACGGGGACACACGTCCGGGTGTGTCAGCTCAAGCTGGATCTGGAACGCTTTGACATCGTGGGGCCGGACGTCTTCGGCCATTCGGGTGGATGCACTCACGACAGCTTCGCCGTCACCGGCCAGGACAGCAACGGCGCCGTCCCAGTCATCTGCGGTGTGAACCATGGCCAGCACAGTAAGCAGCCTACACTACAATTGGCGCGTATGCGTGTCCGTTCGTGTGCATCGTTCGGTTTTATTGTGAGTGAACAGGCCTAGATAGCAGGAGCGCGTCACCGTCTGGTGTGTTTATTATGGCTTCAAAAGTGGTCCCTCGATTTCCGACTAACGCCGTAGAAGGGCCATGATATTGTCTGACGCAATTTTGGCGATGGCACAGAATAGGAGGGCATGCGGCAGCGCCTCTTCTGCTGTTGGTCAATCTGCAGCCAAACGGTCAACGGAAACGAGTATCACTGAATACTCACCCCTTTTTAGCTATTCAGTGACTCTAATCTAATCCTATAACATATAAACGTTTTAGTGTAAGTAATCCAAAGCAGACGTGAGGTGAGATGTCGGGATAATGTTTACCCTCGCGTTCGCTCGCCCTATTGCCAGAATTTCTGCAAAAAAAAAAAAAAAAAACAGCCAGGTTTTTAACGTCCGACTACATGACAAGTCGGCTCTCCTGACATTTTTTTTTGTTGGTACATCGGGACAAGTTTCAAAATTAAAATAAAATTTTTGTCACAAATCCGACGGGTGGAACTGTTGCACGAAAGGACGACACGAAAGATATAGGCATACTTGACAAGAGGCGACAGCCCGCTCCCCGGTCACGTCATTCAGCAAACCCAGACAAACATAACATTCAATTGAAACAAGAGAAGAAAAACGCAGGACCGGGACGAACCAAACATCAAAAATGTGTATCCACAATAAAAAAAAAAAAAAAAAAATGCCGCGTTAAAATGACGAAACCAAGAAAATAAAAACGAGACATTCACCCTGAAGCGACGAAACAACTTATATGTCACGTACGCGGGCGCCGCTTGACGCTTCCTGTCTTACCAGTATCGAGTGGGGCGTCTCTATTGGCAATCAATGGACCATTGGCGGGTCGTAGCGCGCCTGAGGCTCGCTGTGCCTTCTCCTCGATGGTTCGCTGCAGAACACTTACCTAAACTCTATCCTGTATTGTACGCGTTGCTCGAAAAAAGTAAAGGATTACAATCACTTTAGGTTAAGAAGTAATCAATTAGATTACTTCAGTACTTGAAAGATAATAGTAATTTGCCGTTACTTGAAGAAAAAAAATAACCGTTACTTTTCTGTTGACTTCAAATTTTCAAATCGGCATATTTTTTAGTTGGCTTGAAACATTTTGTACTGTCCATTCTTGAATGAGAATCCCGGAATTACAGACTACTATGAATGTATGGCGGTTGATGGCTATACCCTTTGTAACGGAGGGTTGCTTGCGCCGCCTAGCCTAAACGTTCTCAATACACCAACGTTGCTAGACCGTCCTCCCGTCGGAGGCTTGGTTTGAAGATTCCTTGGCGGGAAACTTGTACAAACAGCAGGCTTCATCGGAAACAGGAGGGGGTAAAGAGTGACGGTTACAAGTAATTTATACTTTTAAGATATTCAGATTACTTTTGCGATTTCTCTTTGATAAAAGTAATCAAATTATTTCAAAATTGCCCAAATTGTAATTGATTAAAAGTGATTTGATTACTTGTAATGAATACCCTACAAGCCTGTATCTATCCTTCGCATCAGCAAGCGCTCCGGACAACCCCCAGTAGCTGCGGGCCTGCACACCACGCCACCTCCTGACCTTTCTCCCAGATGCGATGGAGGCCTTTTTTTTTACCGCCCTTGAATCTACGCTCCCCCATTACCGATGACCGGGAGGACTGCGCGCTTCTGTGCCGGGCATTTTCGCGTGTTCGTGCCTTAAGCGTATCACCGAGTGTGTGTTTTAGATTGCAATATACATGTACCGCTTTTATCGTGGCCTTGAATTCCGTGGCGCCATCTCTCGGGCGTTAGGCTGAACGGCCGCGCTGAACTGGGCGAAAGCACTCTCCTGGGCGCCGCTGACGTATTGGGTGCAGTAAAACGCTAGTAATATTTGCCACACGGTGGGTCTTAAGTTGTTAGGATGGGTTCGCGTTTTTAAACACGCTGTGCCTATTTCGTGATCGGTGATATTGCTTCCACCGGTGCGGCGATGCGTGCAACCGCGGCAGCGAACGCGGCGCCATCAAAAGCACCAGCGATCAAAATTGTAGGTGAGTACTCACGACTTTTGCATCAGTTAACTGCGAATGAATTTGAGGTTTCCTCGAGGTTCTTCGTGCTTGTAGGTGAAGCAGATTGAGAAAGTCTTTTGTCGTTTTATGTCCCCCACAACAAGGAACTTTACAAACTGAAATAGCATATCTCGAAGGAGGGTGTACTTAACTTGCGTAGTTGCGATTGTAACTCATGTTGATCGAAGGTACAGCATCGAACTCGGAGCACTCTCCAGTCACTAAATGCTGTGAGCACACTCGAGAATTTGGCAAAGGGCCAAATTTTTTTCTCTATATTGAAGCAAACCACTACCGTCGGAGGTCCTGGTTATGAGGGAAGCGAAGAAACTTGAAAGCAATGCAGCCGCAGTCGCCTTGCCGCATTCCGTGAACGGTACAGGTCCCTTGTGAATATTTTACGCTTTCTCTGGTTCTTCGCACAACCTACATCCGAGCTGTTGTGCCCTGAGGGCGGCGGAGAAAAGCTCACCGGATAAAAGCTCACCGGAGATAAGCTCACCGGAGAAAAGCTCACCGAAAAACCAGGCAGATGCGGAGAAAAGTTCACCGGCCTTTGAGTGGACGCGGTGAAAAGCTCACCGATTTATTAACTCAGAGAATTCTGCGTCAAACGTGGCAGTTTAACACAATTCGCATTCGTCACTTCGTTAAAAATATGCCCTTTTTCTGTAATGTTCTTGAAGTTCATTGGGCATATTTACTAATTCCTCAGAAATTAGTAATCATCCATTTTGTATATAATCAAGCCGCAGGTATAAAATCAGTACATCGTACACCAGTAAAAAAGACGTCAATTTATTGAAAAAATGACAGTGCGCCGTCGGTAGCTCTGTCAAATAAAGTGGTTTGTGCTTCGCAAGGTAATATGAATAGCGGTGTGGTGAACCGTTTCAGCTCCAAATATTGTGCAGCGCCTAATAGATAAGTAGGTGTTAGTAGATGTAATCAATCTGTCTACGCAGTTTTCTTTCTGTTAATTTAACTAACCCAAACTTTAGTTGCGAGAACAGCTTCGTCCCGTCGTGTTTGTTGTCGTCACTCCGTCGTCGAAGTTTGAGCGGTTTTCATCATGTATAACGTTTACCAACTCTTCCTATTCGCTACCTTACAGAGGACCACTTCTTATGTAGGTCACGAGTAACAACGGTGCCAGTGTGCAGCTCGGAAGGTAATGCGTGGCTCACCGTAGAAGGTCACTGTCACACAAAAGGCAACGTGTCGAAACACCAGCTCGAACGGCTAGAAAACGTCATGTCCGTGGAAGAAAGAAACCTCGATATCGCGCTCACTGTTTTATCTTGTTTTCAAAGGTTAACAAAAGCTTCAAAGAGAATTTCAGGCGCTGCGTTGTTGCGCATGCACTTTCGGATTTTCGGCATCTACAGTTTTGATTTTTAGGTTTTAGGCAGACATTATTAAGTTTTCAAACTTGTTCCTCTTCGTCAAGTTCACAAAGTTTTCATTTAGTCTTTCGTTGCCATGAGAGTAAGCCACAGAAAACACTTGCACGCAATTATTTATTTGGGAGCAACATATCCAATAAGCTTACAAATAATACAAAAAATGACATTTCCTTTTTTACAAAGCTGACGAATTTTAATGAGAATAAATTGATATATGTTACGCATGATCCAACAGCCTCCATATAAAACGAAGAAAAAAAAAGCGGTGAGCTTTTCTCCGCATACGCCCAATGGCCGGTGAGCTTTTCTCCGCATCCGCCGGTTTTGCGGTGAGCTTTTCTCCGGTGAGCTTTTCTCCGGTAAGCTTTTCTCCGGGATTCGTGCCCTGATGACCGAGTGGGGTTATCCCTGAATCCAGTAGCTTTAATTAAATCTAAAAAAAAAAAAAACTGAGCGGAAATTTGCGGGCGAAGCAAGCGATTGTCTGGCATCGCGTGCATCCAAGGCCCACATCCGGGGTCTTTCCACGCTTTGCACAGCTCAGAAGGGAAGAACGCGTGCCGTTAACCATCTACCAATTCTGCCTCGCCCTCTGTGAGTGAAACTGTCAATACACCATTTTAAAAAACGCTCCTAGGCCGGCGCCATGTTGCGGATGATGATGCAGCTGGTGCGATTCTCACGGCCCCTATTAGCTAGCAATTTTCGGACTCTCCTTCTGACTGTAGAAACCTGCTCATTGCGAATCTCCACCTGTGTTTTGTGCTTTTGCATTCCAACCTTTCTGGCCTCTTTTTGAAAGTTTTCGGTTTGTTTTTTCTTATAGATGTTGCGTAAATTTTTCGGGTTATGTTTGAGTGGAATAAATAGGACTGACACGGCGCATGCCGTTCAGTTGTGTTTGCTCGGCGATCACGGGTCACCTAGGGAGGGAGGGACGTCGAACGCGATTTTGCAAACAATGACAGCTGTCCTTTCCACCTCCAGATATGATCTGCGTAGATTCCTTCCCACGCATCGTCAAAAATAGTTGTCCAGGTCGGAGTGGGGAATGGGTGAAACCAGAGCCGTTTATACTGAGAGAGTTTGGCCTTCTTAAGGAGATTTTGACAGTCTGACAACCAAAGCAGCGTAGTCTGACAACCGGGGGATGACTACTTCCGTCCGCCATATTGTGGCTCTGACTCATAGGAACTCTACGCGATTTCTCAGGAATGAACAAGACAAAGAAGTGACGCCATATTGTGTTATCGCGAAATCCGCTTGTTCTAGCGGCCAACAAGCTCCGCCCATCGGCCAAACTCTCTCAGTATAAATGGCTCTGGGTGAAACCAGTCCCTCAATAGTCAGCAGCGTCCGTTTTTTTTTTTTTTTTGCCTGGTGTGAACAATGGAAGCTCTCACCAAAACGTGCCCTAAGACGAAGTCCTTTTCGTCTTGAAGAGGTGGCTGTCGTCGACACTAGAG